TCTACAGGTACGGTGTTAAAGGGCCGGTGTACATGAAGAATCGAGAGGGTGAGGTGGTGTCGGCCGGACAGGACGGTTTTTGTGAGTGGCAGAGCGGCTCCGTGCGGCGACACTCTGACCACATCAGCACCACGTCCAGCTGCGGCACCTCCACCTTCAGACTGTTCGACCACATCACCGTGAGTCGCATTTATTCATGTTTACGTATATAACTTTATTTTATAGCATTTATTCATTCATTATTTCACGCATGTTATTTTTTAAGGATGTATGATTTTAGGACAGTAATCTAATATCATTGACTTTATGGGGAATCATATTGAGACGAAATGATCATATTGTAAAAAACACCTTTTTTTTTAATTAAGTTTTTAATATATATCTTTTAAATCCTGCATTGCTTCCATGGCCCGATCCCAGTGTCAACATGTCACGTTCCGTCACATCATGTTTTGTAGAATCGTGGGCTTTTATTTATCTGATAGTTTGTATTTGAACGTCTTCCGGGCTCTTTCCTCACAAGATGGAAGTGATTTGTCAATCTATTTACTTGTTTTTGTCAAAGAACTTAAATAACAAAGTAAAATGTTTGATGAATAAATCTGGAATAAAGTTTCTGATTTTATGTTTTTTGGTTCCATATTCAAACCTTAATTCTTTGTGTAAATGTGATGCACCAGGCTGAACATGTGTTGTCCCCTTTGTTTACCTTTGTTTTGCTATGAATTGTGGGTAATTCTCTTGGGCAAAATCTGCAGAAATGTGGACTTGCAGAAACATGTTGACAAAGGACTCAAACACTGCAGGATCTGACAGACGGACAGAACTAAACCCTCAGACTTACAGGGAGTCTGAGGGTTTAGATTGGGAAGGTTCCCCTTCTCCTCCTGCTTCTTCTCCTGCTGCTTCTCCTTCGTCTCCTTCTCCTGCTTCTTCTTCGTCTCCTTCTCCTCCTTCTCCTGCTTCTTCTTCGTCTCCTTCTCTTTCTGCTTCTTCTTCTTCTTCTTCTTCACTACCTTTGCAGGCGCTTTGCTGCATCAGCGTGTTGCATCGTCGCCTGTGCAAACAAAACAAAGACCCACTCTTTAAAGCATCGCTCCACAGCCCTACAACTGGTTTTCATGATTACAAGCATCATTTGTTGTGATAAATATTCTTACAAATATTGAGAATTAACTTGAGCTTCACCATCCATCCTTGAGTCCTCACAGATGTAGACATGTTTATTAGTTTAACCGGCAGCACGGAGGCCGTACGGTGACGTTTGAGTCTTCTCCACAGGTGCGTATCTCGGTGCGCTCGCTGCATTGCCACGCGGACGCTCTGAACCTGGAGGTCGTCAGCAACGAGCCGCACCGCGGCACCGCAGAGCCTCAGCGGCCGAGCTCGCAGGGCCGCAGCCGGCTGGTCCAGGAGGTGGTGCGTCTGGCCGAGGAGGCGACCCAGCAGGCCCAGGAGAAGGCGGCCCGGCAGCCCAAACTCTCCAGAGAGGAGAGAGAGTTCAGCCAGAGCAAGACTCCCAATCTGTACTCTCTCCTGGAGGAGGTCCGGGAGCTGGCTCTGCTGGACCCGGAGGCCGCTTCACGGGTCACTGCAACGACGGCGTGAAGCTGCGTAAAGTTTTTAAATAGACGACTGGAAACACGAACACATAATCAGAACTCCTTCATACGTTTCTTCAGCGTTGAGTGAATCATGATGGAAGATTTTATCATCCGCATACTTTTTATCATTTAGACAAATGTTCGATAATGCAAAGTGTGAATTTGTTATTTGATATTAAATGAGTTTATTACGTTGGTCCACAGACTCTGATTATTACATAGAGAACATAAATGTATTAATGAGAAGATGAGATCAAACTTTTCTTCATAATGTTTATTGTTTGGCATTAAAAAAACCAAAGATGGAAACTAAGCCTCGATTGATCAATAACACAAATGAGAACGTGTCGTGCTGCACTGATTATGACGTGAACAACAAAGATATTATGTACAAGTAACACCGACATTTATTACAAACTACATCCGGCTAATAAAATCTGAAGAAATATTTCATTTAAAGCTGCTGACGCGACAATAAAACGGTGTATGTATGTGTGTTTAAGTATTTCAGATGGAAACAGGAATTCAGAATTTGAACAAAGTTGCACATTACAAGAACATAATTTATGCATAAATAAAATTCGTTGCCAAAACAAAAATAAATTCTGTCTTTCAATCTCAAGAGCGTTAATCTCCGTCCTCACACGTTACCGGGTTCTTGGACCTCACAGAGACCGGGTTCTTCTTCTCTCTCACTGTGAGGCGATTCAGCAGGAGGCTCAGAGTCTGTGTGTGGAAGCTGACGGGGTTCTTGTTGTTGTGTGCTGCTGGCTGGCTCCGCCTCTAAAGCCTCCACCTCCTCATCCCGGTCTTCAGAATTGTTGAGGACGTTTGTCGGTTCATCTGCTGACGAGTCGACGGTCTGAGAGTCTGAAGGATCTGGTGGGAGACATTGTAGATCTGTCAGTCAATGTTTACATCATTTTAAAAGTGATTCTAAGAAATAGAAAACCAGGGAGTGGTGCGTGCATGTTACTATGAAGCCCTCAAATAAGCTGTGTTCATAAACTCACAAAACCAGAACATTATTACTACGTCCCAATACATTCTGACCCACAATCCTTTGCACAGCAGTTATATGAGCAAGAGAGTTCAAAGGGCTTTTTAGGGGCAGCTGCAGCTCGTACTACAAGTAAGAAGAAAGAGTGAGACCTGCAACGCAGCTAAGATCTAATGCTACCAAACACCTTCACAAGTCACTTAATCAACATGTACAGACTGGCCTGATGAGGATGCAGCTGTGCATCGTGTTGGTGACTGTCTGAGGTTTGTCTGCATCATTAATAGACAACGACTGAACGAGATCAGCTCTCAGCAGAAGTTCCTCTCACCCATTGGCTGCTGGCGGGCCAGCCTCCTCTCCAGGGCTCGCTGTCGGTTCAGCTCCATGCGTCTACGCTGCTCCTCCGTCAGGGAGGGAGCCGGAGGGGGAGCCGGAGCAGCCGGAGTGGAGTGGACCGGAGCTGGAGTGGACCGGAGCGGAGCCGGCAGGTCGTTAAAGCACGAGCTGTTGAACGGATCCGGATCCCCAAAAACGTGAGATTCAGGAGCTGCTTCTTCTTCTTCACCTAAACAGACACACAGTGGACAGAACGTGGATTCAGAGAATATATTTGAACATTACTCACTCTCATATAAGTCTTATTGTTTGTGTGGCCTCATACTCAGGTCGGTCTCACAGAGCAAAACAAACAACAGCTGATAAATGCTTCTTTACTCTTCTGAACGTTACTGATGAAAGCTCCTCTGTAGCTTTCACTCTCCAGATCTCAGCCAATTAAAACTCGTTCCTGAGTCCAGTGTGACACAACGACCATAAACATATAACTGTGATCATTTTGACTGATATTGCAAAATGCTTTGTGACATTAGAGGGAATGATCAGTTTCAGATCACTATCCTAAAATGATTATTGTGCGATTGTTGCAGATTTGTACCAAACAAAGAGGTTTTCTTACGACATCATGGAACCACACAGGAACAACATGAGGTGTTCTGGGTAATTGAGCAGAAATTATCTCATGAAGTCTGAAAAACAAACCAATGACCGCACAGAAGGAAACTTAATGTCATCGTCTCAAACGCTTTGCTGCAGCAGGGAAACCTTTTATGCACCAGAAGTAGAATTTAGCAGCAATATGCAGGTTTTCATTTTGATCCCAGCAGGGTCGGAAATGTACTTTAGTTTATTAGAAATGAACTGAGTCTGACGCTGAACGTCCATCTGCTCAATGACGGAATAACAGTTTAGATATATTTTACATTATATTACATGTTTCAATTACACCGTAGCTTCCAGGAACGCACTATCTTTTGGTGGATGGGTATCTTACATTGATGTAAAGATAAAGTATCAATACATTTGTATTCATACAAGGTTGTTGTTTTAACTATTTTGTGTAGGTCCATCACATAAAATCCAAATAAAAAGCACTTTAAATTCCAGGTTGTATTGTAAACGAAACAGGAAAAACACAAAGTGAATACTTTTGACAATCTAATCATACACTAACTTTACTAAACCTCCGCCAACAATTCACCTGCATTTGAGGGGTGGCAGGAGCTCATTACAGACCCCGATCCCGGCCTATAAGGAGCTCATTAC